AACTGAATGGCTTAAAACAACAATATAATCTCACAGCTTCTGAGTCTGAGATTCAGAAACGGCTTAGCTTGGTGGTTCCGGTTTCGGGTCTCTCTGTGGGGCCGCTGTCCTCTGCAGGTGCGGCCCAGGGCTGGAGGGCTGGTTCCAAGCTCACTCCCGTGGTTGGCAGGTTGGTGTGGTCTCTCTCCCTGCCCAGACCCCTCCTGGGCTGCTGGAGTGTCCACATGGCACGGCTGCGGGCTTTCCCCAGAGCGAGCGATTATGTGCAGGGCAGAAGCTGCGAGGTCGTTTCTGATGCGGCTTCGGAGGCCACATTCCGTTACTTCACCACACGCTCATTAGAAGTGAGTTGCTAAGCTCAGCCCATTTTCAAGGCGGAGGAGTGAGGCTCCATCTTTTGAATGGAGGAGGGTTAAAGAATCCATGTGCATATTTAAGGGACTCAGCTATGTTATTCCATCTGCCAAGGTTTATGATGTCCTGTTTTCTTAATGGCGTATTCTTTTATTATGTACTCTTCCCCTTCATCTATTATTCAGGTTTTTTTAAATACCATATGGTTTATTTGTCTCTGTTATGCTACTAAGCCACCCTTTCGTCCCTTTATTTCCAATTTCTTTGTTTTTGGTCTTTGTTTTGGTTATTTCCAATTTCTTTGTTTTGTTGTAGGTCTCTTTCATAAGTAGAATTTTATTGGATTTTTAGGACTTTGATGCGATAAATTCTTTCAATATCTGAGTTTATTATGTTTATCTTTCTTACAATTATTAATACATTTGGGTTTATTTCCACTGTCTCATTTTGTATTATCTTTTTAACGTTCTTCCTCTTTATTTCATTCTACTTTCATTTGGATTGAAAATGCTGCCAATTTTCTATAATCTCTATTTTTTTTTTCTTGTCTAGTTGGGAAACCATGAGATTGTATTTCCATTCTTTTAGAGGTCACCAAACTTTTTCTTTTAAAAAAAATTTTTTTAACGTTTATTTATTTTGGAACAGAGACAAACATGAGTGGGGAGGTCCAGAGAGAGGGAGACACAGGAGTAGAAAGAGACTCAGGCTCTGAGCTATTTTCAGAAATTCCCATGCGAAGAACTCAATTTCCATGGATTGTGAGACAAACCTGAGCCCAGTGGGAGCAACAACAATGAGCCACCGTTGCCCAATCTAAACTTTCTTAAAGATGAAGTTATTCACTACCCCATAAATATTTCCTAGACTTTTGCCTCTCTTTAGATTTTAAAGTCTCTTTTGTCATACATTTCTAATTTTATTGCTTTGTCATCAAAGAATATAGTCCGAATGGTAAGGATCCTTTGGAATCTGTAGATTTATGAGCTTACCATATTGTTTTAAATGTTGCATCTCTCAAAAAGAATGTGTATTTATTTGTTCCAGGTATGAGGGTTATAGACATCTAATAGCTCAGTCTTATCAATTATGCTGCTTGACCATGGAGGAGGGTGATAATATTTCAAACCACAATTGTCGGCCTACCTATTTCTCCCTGAAGTTTTGTCAGTTGCGGCTTGCCCTATGCCAAGATGCCCCCCTGCACTATCACAGACACATGTTATATTGATTTCTCGGTGTGTTTATTTAATGTTAATGCCAAGCTCTGTTCTCACTGGTTCCATGTGGATAGTTTGTTGCTCAGATACATAGTCCTCTTTCAGATTACAATAAAAACGTTGGTAGAGGTTAGAAATGGATCCGGGCTCATACATTTGTTAGAAGCTTAGAAATGGATTCGGTAATGAGGGACAACACCTGCTTCAGAGCATTTAACAGCTTTCTGACATCTGTGACCTGTCACAGCTCTAGAGACTGCGTGCAATGCAACTCGACCACTGGGTGGCGCACTAAGCATATACTTCGGTGCTCCCTTCTACTCGTCCTCCTCGGGCAAGAAAAGATCCGGTGATAAATGTAAGGGGGGGGAGGGGTCCGTGAAAATGAGAGGTCTGAATCCAACAGTGTGTGTGCGTGTGCGTGTGTGTGTGTGCCTGCACCAGGAACTTACAGTAACAGAATATGAGACTTTTTTTTTTTTTTTTTTTTTTTTTTTTTTTTTTTTTTTTTAGCAGAGATAATCCAGAGGATACAACAAATGGACTGGTTCATTGGTTCATGTGCTTGCTCATTTATTCATTCAATCGGAAATATTTCTTCATGTTTTTTCCCATTTTGTAAAACAAAACAAAACAAAACAAGCAAAAACGTATCCAAACGTTGAAGAAATTAAAAAGTACTTCATCTATTGTTTCCTTCTGTAATGTCATATTTATGGTTTTTTACGTTTTATTTTAAATTTCACAAAAAGGATTTTATATCTCTACTACTGAGCAATGTGATGCATTGCTTTAGTTGTTGAAACAGAAAAATACTGAGTCGTTATGTTTATGTTATCACCCCCACCACCCTCACACTGTTGTTCATTTGGTACACTTCTAATTTGTTGCATGCAGCCGCTTTGAACCATCATTATAAAGATTTTATTGCCATGTTGAAAATGCTTATAATATGGCAGGCAACAAAAAGAAGGCATAAAAATAGAAGATTTCCTGTCATTAGAGCCATGTAGAGATATGTGCACATATGGTTGGAGGCTGGCAGTGGATGATGGAGAAATAAACATGTGGTTTTCTTAGGAGACTGGATCTGTGCATGGTTTTTCTCTGTTACAAATCATACATTCTTGGCGTGCCTGGGTGGCTCAGTCGGTTAAGCGACCGACTTCAGCTCAGGTCATGATCTCACGGTTTGTGGGTTCGAGCCCCACGTCGAGCTCTGTGCTGACAGCTCGGAGCCTGGAGCCTGCTTCGGATTCTGTGTCTTCCTCTCTCTCTGCCCCTCCCTCTGCTTGCAGTCTGCCTCTCTCTCTCTCAAAAATAAATAAACATTAAAAAAAATTAAAAACAAATCATACATTGTTGCTATAATAATTTGATACGGAGTAAAAAGGTGAAATCAAATATATATATATAAATACACTTTATGTATCAATATAATTGATATACAAAGTTTAATACAAGAAAAACTTCACTGTCTATGTTTCTCTTCTGGCCATTCTTATTTGTTTCCTTCCACGATTCTTGAGGAAAATACTTGTTGTAGCGAGAAGGATGCTGTTAAACACTGATCTGCTCTGATGGTCAGATGTCCTGGGTCTGCTGCTGGGGGCCACCTGGGTTTCTCCTCTGCCAACTGGGACTAAGAAGGACAGGACTGTGTGAGGGTTAAGTTAGCGATTTGCATTCATTAGTTGAAATAATCACTTTACATTTATTCAAACTTAAACACATTAAATTAAGAAAGCCTGCCAAAGCCAAGGGGCGCATCTCCCGTTTGAAAGCATGAGTCAGAGACCTTTCTCCAAATGGCAGCCTGTAGCTGAAGCCACCTGCGGGAGGGTGGAAACAAGGACGGCTTTGTCGCTGGTGCCACGGGTGGGTGGCGGGGGCGGCACCTCCTGACCCCCCCCCCCCCCCCCCCCCCCCCCCCCCCCATCGCGCTCCCTGCAGCCGTCCCAGCAAAGGGGCTGGGTTGTCCACCACCTGGGGCCTGGAAACACCAGGAGAACTAACTCCCTGTGTCCTACAGCTTGGAAGTCGAAGCTGGAAAGGAAGGACAAAGGTGCAGGTTTCAGAGGAGGGATGGCTCAGGGAAGCGTCTCCCTTCTGGACAGAGACGGGTCTGGGCAGGGGGTTGCCTGTTGGTGTTGGCCAGGTGGGCTGGGCGGGGCCTTCGGGTTTCCCACCCGGTTGTTTCATTGGCCATGGTGTCCTCCCTCTGCCAGATCCAGCCAGGTTCACCGGGCTTCTCCCGAGGGAAAGCCGGTGTGGGGTTCTGCTCCCAGGACTTCTGGTCCCCACCAGTGCCACCTTCACGGAGAGCTTCCCTGCCCTCTGCACACGGCCCATATATGTGCTTCTCCTCACCCTGAGAATGGAGAAAGCCCGTTTTACAGATGAGGAAACCGAGGCAGCTTTATTATCTACCGCGTAGGGAACACCCTCAACCAGAAGAGGTTCCTTTCTGTGGTACAAATAGTTTCTTGTTCTGGAAAACGCAAGCGGCACAGTCATTGAATCATTAGGAGCGGGAGCCTTGGTTTGAAGAGGAAGGATTCAGTATGTCACTGGTTAGACTGTGAGCTCCCTAAGGAGGAGGACCGGCTGGCTCATCTCTGCCCCCCAGGGTTCAAAACAGTAGCTGGCTTGTCATCCTTGGGAATTAAGAGGGAACAGTCACCACCATTATGTCGGAAATTGTACGCGAGCACTTCTGCGCATTCCTGCAAAGCGGTGCTCTCACGATTCCCTTCTACAAGTGGGCAGCTGGGGTCTAGAGAGGTCAGATGGTTCGCCTAAGGTTAGTAAGGGGCCGAGGCCAGAACTGCATCTTTCACGAGCATCCGGGCTGATTATGGAATAGGTGGTCCCCCACTTTGACAAATACTGTCTTAAGGGAGGGTGCGGTGGGAACCTGGGAGGTTTTTTCCCCGAGTAAGTCAGGAGGATGGTCTTGAGCCTCGTTTGACCACAGTTGGATCCAGTGGTCCCAAGGCTGGTGGCCTGGGGTCAGGAGCTACAGTTCCTCTTCCTAGCTCCCTGACTAGCAGCTGTGTGACTTTGGGTCAGTTACTCACCTTCTTTGGCCCTGAATTTCTTTCTCTGTACAATGAGAGGACTAGGCCAGGTCAGCCATTCTTGAGCCTTCTTGACTGCCCTTCACTGTAATCATACATCTTACACTGTACCTACGGTGTCCTTTGAGAGCCTAGAATCTTCTCTCATGCTCACTCTTCCATTCTAGTTCATTAAAAATAAAGTGATCTCAAGAGCCACTAGTAGGTGGAGACCCACAGTTTGGAAACCTCTGGACTAAATGGCCTCCTGACATTCTGTGGATCTATAACCAAGGGTCCTGAGCTCAAATCCCTGGGGCCAGGCAGTGGGGTGAAGGAATGATCAGTGGTTGGAGGGGGTGGTGACTTGGTCAGTACCCACAGCCAACCAGTTGGAAGGCATATCTCCAGACGCTTTTATTTTATTTTATTTTATTTTATTTTATTTTATTTTTTTAAAGACTTTAAAAAAGTTTATTTTCTTACTTTGAGGGGGGAGGTGGCAGAAGGAGAGAGAGAGAGAGAGAGAGAGAGAGAGAATCCCAAGCAGACTCCACACTATCAACACAGAGCCCAACTCAGGGCTCAATCTTACAAACCATAAGATCACCACCTGAGCTGAAATCAAGAATCAGACAGTCAACTGACTGAGCCACCCAGGTACCCCAATAACTTTGGTTTTAGATAAAATATTAGGAATTTATTACTTTGGTTTTTAAATACTGCACAAGCAAAATAAAACGGAAGGAAGCAAAACCAAAAAACTTGCAAAAAAGCCCGTAGGGCCAGAAATTTTAGTTCTGTGTGTAGATGATCAATCCTTGTTTTCTTTGCTGTTGTTGTTTGTTGGTGCATTTTCGCCTTTGCCGGCCTGTCCTACAACAAATTAACAACTTAACCAAAAACGCTCCCTGCGAAAACATTCTCCACCTCATCCCCATCGCAGAGCATGGAACACCCTGGGGACACCAAGGGTCTGCCTCCAGCAGGTGCACTGTAGGCAGCTGCTCCCAGAGGGCCCGGTGCTGATGACAAAGAGGCCAGGGCATCCAAAGCCTGAGCGAGAGGCAGGAGGAAGCCAGCCACGCGGTTCTCCAGGAAAGGGACCAGGCGTTTGCACAGAGCAGCAGGCTCCCCCTCTGCTTCCCCTCCGCAATGCCCTCTGCCTCCGGGTCTGTCACCTTACAGCAGCTTTTCTAGAGTGAGTCCTGCCCTAGATCTCCTTATCGGTCTCCTTGTCCAAGCTGGCCGCTCACCTCACATGAACTTGAGTATCCGTCAATCTCCGCAGCCCTGGGGTGCAGTCTCAACTGAAGACAGCTGTCCCATGCTTCAAAACCTTTTGCAACCTACTGTTCACCTGCTCAGGGTGGTGTTTCTGGTTTTGAAGAAAACATCCCAAGGAGGAAGAAAAAACTACCAGGTCTTCGAACACTGCAAATCCAATTCATAAATGATAAGCAGTCACTTAAAATCACGGTGCCAAAACCTATTTGAGGGGCGCCTGGGCGGCTCAGTCGGTTAAGCATCCGTCTTCGGCTCAGGTCATGATCTCACGGTTCGTGAGTTCAGGCCGTGAACCCGGCTCTGTGCTGACAGCTCAGAGCCTGGAGCCTGCTTCGAATTCTGTCTCCCTCTTTCTCTGCCCCTCCGCACCCTTACACTCTGTCTCTCTCTCACAAAAATAAACATTAAGAAAAATGTTTAAGAACCCCAAAATCTATTTGAGTATGATGTTTGTGGTATATTCTTGCTAAGTGAAAAAAAAAAGTTATAACCCTGCCAACAGAGTGATCCTAATTTTGGGGTGCCTGGGTGGCTTAGTCAGTTAAGTGTCCAACTCTTGATTTCTGCTCAGGTCACAATCTTGAGGTTCATGGGTGAGCCCTGAGTCGGGCTCTGTGCTGATGGTGTGGATCCTGCTTGGGATTCCCTCTCTCTCCCTCTCTCTCTCTCTGCCCCTACCCCACTTGTGCATGCTCTCTCTCCCAAGATGAATA